TCCACCTCTCTCTCTTCTTCTCTCTCTCTCTCTCTCTCTCTCTCTCTCTCTCTCTCTCTCTCTCATTTGTATTAATCTAGTTACTCTTTTTTTTACATGTTATATATTTATACATGTTATATATTTTATACATTTTATACATGTTATATATTTATACCAATTTAGAGCAACAATGGTGTCTATAGATGGTGTATATATAACTGGACATATCGCATAGATCTTTAATTACAAATCGACAAACTAGGAAAAACAGAGAGAAACAGAAACACAGCATCGTTAGAGCATGTAACTATTGCGTAACCATTCTTTCAAGCGAGAGATGGATTTTGTGATGATTCTTTATTTTTTATAAATTTCTATCTTTTTGGCTAGGCATTTACATTCTGAATCGCATTTGTCTTGGAAAAATTAAAATATAATTATATATGATAGGAAAATTGTGTTGTTTGACGTCATGTTGACGAAGACATCATAACGTTTTACTCCGCTTTTTCACGTGTTACTTATGTCGACACAACCTGTTTAATTGTTCGATCGAATCATGTGAATAAACGTACAATCACGCTCGCAATGAGGAGTCTCCATTGATCTCCTATCCTTCAATGAATGATAGATTGGATTTCGGAAAATGGATTTTCTCACTATCCTCTTAGTTATTCTGTTTTCTCTTCTTTCTGTGGTGAGAATATTTAATTTGCAATATCATATTTCAATCATAAAATCCACATTGCATTTATTAATCACAACATTTCTATAATTATCTCTAAAATCAATATTATGATGTTATAATTCTTAATTAATTTTTAATTTATGAATAATATTTTCGCGATGTAAAAAATATGTCCATAACCAATTAAGATCATATTGATTAGCACAAATGTACTGAGTACATTTTGATTTCATTATATTTCGAATTCCCTTTCTGTGGTTTTGCTCTAGAAAGACAGACAGACATCTTTCTCTTTTTAAATGCATGTTATTTTTATGAAATCTTGTTACGACGAAATCTTATTTATCGCGTTGCATTAAATCGCGTCGCTTTGTTTGAGCAAACTGGTAGACGCAAACGGGGAGTGTGAAAGGTCAGTTCATTCATCAAGCATCGAGCGATGAACTTTCGACGATGGTCCTATCGCATTGACGATTTATTGTCATGGCGTGCGGGGTGAGAGGTTCATTGACAATAATTTCGTCAATGGAAATGCCTGAGGTGGTGCTTCATGCAGAACACGACCTATCCTGCCGTCGATAAAACCTCTTGATAGTAGCGGCCGGTGGCAGTTCGACGTCGGCCGTCGCTGTGAACGGATATGTTGTCGTCGTCGCGATTTGTTCATCGTTTTCCGTTTCGACGAAAATAAATGATCGAGTTGAGAAAAAATGCACGATCTTTATTACGGATGTAAATTTTCGGAGCGACTGTATGTCAGCGTTTTGTTCGATGCAATTCTCCGGTAATCGCAACGATCGATGAGTGATCATCGACGATCAATTGTTAAATTTAAAGGACAATTTCCGAAAAAGAGTGGTTTCCGATCTGTCGCGCGTGTAATTTGACAGTCGCCGAGCGAGCGTTGTTCTCCGCGAACACCGCTCGAAACACCGCTCGACACTTTCAAATCGTCGCGCGCGATCGAGAGAGGGTCCGCGATCGAGATCGACAGCGTGCGGCGCGGGAACTTGATTCTTCGTTTCCCGAACGAGAAAATTTCCGAGAAAATTTGAGAACCCGTTCACGGTTCAGTTCCGCTCGATCTTCGTCGAGGGGAAAACATTTTCACAAACGATCACGAAGCGCGCGCTTGATTGTGGATCCGCGCCCGCCGTATTGTGCGCGATTTTATTATATATTTCCCGACGCGTTCGCGCATCGCTTATCGCATCTTCGCGAGCGAAACCGAGGGCTTTCGACCGACCTGCGTACTGCACTGGATGCACGCAATAAACGCGACGGCCGTCGTTTATCTCGAGCGCGTTAACGCACCTCGCGTAGTGCGCTACTCGCCGCTCGCGGCGACGGTTACATCGCGCGGAAAAGCTTGGGAGATCGATACGCCGATCTCCGTGACCGCGATCGTCGGATCGAATAGCCGATCGATCGCGGATCGATCCGTGCGCGTGCTCTCGCGTCAGATTTCCGACGAAAGACACGTCTGGACGCTGTAATCGGAGCTGAAAGCCACGCCAATTCCGAAAGGGGAAGGCAGAGTTACAAGAGCGGAGAACAATGCTGTCGCAACGTCGCGTCGCGTCGCGTCATCGACTTGTTCACGGTATCGCGTGTAATTAGCGCGTGAATGCATTAATGATTTCTCGAAGTCATTGACGATCCAGACCGTTGATCATTAACCGGTGATCTCTCTCGCGATCAGGTGAAATTGAATATAAACGCTCTTTCCCGTTCGTGAAACGCGTCTCGTGAGAAACTCAATTTGATGACGCTATTGGAAAAGCGGGAAATCAACGTACAGTTCGACTTCCCGAGTAGTTATTGGCCATTGAAAGACTCGCGACGGATGCGTCTGAGGACCGGAAGAAGATGCGCTAATTAACTGCGATCTCGGCCCAGTGTCGTCTCGTGGAAATCGCCAAGTGGTGAGTTTGAATTTCTATTGGTTTCGTTAGAGTGTGCTTTTGAATAATATGCGGTTGCATCTGAGAGGAAAACGCTGTAACGGGAAATTACTTTCTCGAGAGTGCGCGGAATGAAAGGGTTGCCCTCGGTTACTTTAGAAGGGACGTATCTCTTGTCGCCGATGTAACATCGTAGGATTTTTAAGTGGTTTCGTGGGAAAACTTCGAATCAATTACGAATATAATATTTTTCATGATTCGGAATTAGAATTATATAAGGTACGTATGAGCTCTACCTTCTGAAATTTTATCTTTGCTTTTTTAACAAATTTATATAATATATAGATGGGAATAAGAAAATATTTTATAATGAATATTTTATAATTTATAATGAATAATTTATAATGAATATTTTTATAAAATGTATGCTTGAATTATTCAGTTATTTTCATAGCAATTATTAAAGTATTATATTA